GGAGGTCGGACCGTCGGAGCACGCGTTGCGGTGAGGTCGGACCCGTCGAGCACGCTTTGGGCAAGGTTTTGTTTCTGGGGATCACGTCTTTCTCCTCTGAGTTGTATGTCAATGTGCACAATTATTATTTCAAGAGTTGCATGTTTCAAGTTGGCCAAATTGGTAACTGTTGGTGCATATATTTCGAGAGAGATATGTTTCAAGCGGACAAAATTTTGCCGGTATATTATCAGAGCTTAACTTAATAACAAAATGGCTGGACTAATGGCTCCCGTCTCTCACTCTCTCTTGCGCGTATGATGATTATTAAAACTAAAACTATGCACCGGCACATATTGAAACTGTGCACTATGCATCTCTGAATGTAACTTAATATCTGAATACTGTGATTTCTAAATATAACTGAATCTCTGAATCTCTACTAAGAAGGCTAGGAGTAAAACTATAAGAAGTCTGAATGTCCCTGGCACCATGTATAGATATGCCTGATTGCAAAAATTCCCTCCTCGTGGGTCATCAGCCTCCACTCTTGCCTTTCCGTCTGTTGTTAGACCAGCTACAAGAACCGGCCTTTCCTTGGGTTTCCTCACAGACGCTCCAGAAGAACCTGAAAGTTTTGAAGCAAGCAATTTCCTCATCAATTGCTGATCGACTACCAAGCAATTCAAGCACTACTACATAGTAACGTGTAGTCAGTAGGTGCAGCTCGTACACATATATAAGAGACATGTTCGTTGGATTTATTGTGAAACACTATGGAGTTATGACATGTATCTATCATAGGATCTGCCAAATCACTCCAACTGGCGGCTTTCGCTATAAAATGCTGCAGCAAGTTTGCACTCACTATTGTGTTAACTGAATCTGTTAGACAACAGGGCATAATGTCGTGTTAACTGAAACTGAACATATCGTGTTAACTGAAACTGGAAGCAAACAGGGCACAATATATATATATATATATATATATATATATATATATATTCAAATAATTGATTTGATGGAAGAGGATGAGAAAGATTATTGGATGGTTGAATCTGTCTTATTCGATGGCAAAAAAAATTGAAGTCTACCATCTGGAACAAGTTATATGCTGTCTTTAAATTATCATCTAAACCTCCGAGGTCTACTTCATTAAGCGACCCCATCCAAATAAGCTTAGCAGTGCATACCACAGCCATCTATGAGCAAGTTAAGATTGCAAGTTTCTTGCCTGTTGTCACACCTGCTACAGGAACTGGCCTGTCCCGTTTCTTCACAGTGAAATGAACCTGAAAGTTTGGAAATCAAATGTTGTATATAAGAGACAAATAGGACTCTGATGCTAAAAAGTAAAAGAATCAAGCATACGAGCAGCAATATTTATTCTTACGAGGACTTATAAAATTGTCTAAGTATACACACCGTCAATCACCAATTTAGGACGTCTCTGTAAACTATATTCTTGGTGCTCTTTCCTGTAGCATCCAAGTCATCTTTTGGCTTTGCCAAAATTCTTGTTGTTGATCTTGACACCCCCTTGATAAACCAACATAAAGCTGTCCATGCAAAAATACCGGTTCTGGAAGGTAGACCCCAACATTAGGGATGGTCTGTCCCTGTGACTTGTTGATGGTCATGGCAAAACTTAATCTCACTGGGAATTGTTTTCTCTTAAACTTAAAAGGCAGTGAAATATCATCCGAGGGAGACAATGGTAGCCTTGGTATGAAAACTCTTTTCGCCACATGCTGTCCACCAACGATCTCAGCATCAATTGCATTGTCTTGCAATGCTCTGACCATAAGCCTTGTACCATTGCACAACCCATTGTTAGGATCAAGATTGCGGAGAAGAATCACAGGACAGTTGATTTTTAGCTTCAGCTCATGCGGGGGGAGGCCATTTGGAGTTATTGAATTCAAAAAATCAATAGGGAAGTGATTCTGAGGATCGTCAACAATAGTGTCAAAGCTGTGGTAAACCTTTTCCTCACCTGGAAACCGTCCAATCATCATTGCGTTCAGCCTATCAACATGTTCATTTTTGGTCGATAGAATGGCCCGTCTGCTCATATAGGCGGCTGATGTTGCATGCTCTTCAAGTGACGGGAACACAGAGGAAATGAGTCTGTTGACTGCGACATCCGTGTCAGTATATGCAATCACAATGTCATCAGGGAGTCGAACATAATCATCTCCAATCGTTTCCTCGGTTCCATTTCCAATTCGTAGTAGGTACTCAGAGAACCAAGGGTCTGATTGTGCTCTCATGTTTTGTGACAATCGTATCTTCCTTATTTTATCCCACAAATAGGATCTTTGCAAGGTAGCATCAGTTACCTGTGCCCTTGTCCCACGTGGCACCACAGGAAGGACCTGTCTAAAGTCTCCACCAAATACCATGACCTTTCCTCCAAATGGCAAAGCACATTCCATGATATCCTGTAGGGACCTATCTAGTGTCTCGACGCACTGACGCTTGGTCATGGCAACTTCATCCCAAATAATCAAAGATGCCCTACGAAGCAATTCTGCAGTGCCACTTTGCTTTGTAAAGTTGCACATGGTGTTGTCCCCAATTTTAATTGGAATTTTAAACCTGGAGTGTGCAGTGCGTCCTCCGGGCAATATTGATGCTGCTATACCAGATGTGGCAGTTGCGATGGCTATTAATCCTTTGGAGCGAACTCTAGCAAGCAAGGCCTTGTATAGGAACGTCTTTCCTGTGCCTCCCGGACCATCAACAAAAAAAACTTGGCTCTTTTTGGCAAAGACATGCTGAATGATTTCATCAAACCCTGCTCTCTGCTCCTTGTTAAGAGAATAAAAAATATCTAGGTGTTCTTGGTCAATAGAGACATTCTGCTCCTCTCTAACCTCTTTCATCATGTCAATGGAGGTTGGACCCATATCGCAAATAGGTGGCAGACCAAAATCTTTGATATCTTTGCCCATCGAGTGAAGCATATCCCGTATGTCCCAGAGCACCATTTGCTCCACTGTCGTCATGTTGGTGTTGTCCCGACTAAAGTCTTCACCTAACGCATCCTTATGCTTGTCCCATAATCCACGTATGTTAGTGGCCTCACCGAACACAAGAATGGTAGCAAACAACCTCCGCAAGGCACACGACATCTGAAAAGTGGTGGCCTCAGTCAAGCAGTCATCAATTGATCTATCTGTCTCGATAAGCCCTCTTTTCTCACATGCCTCCCTAAAAGTAGAGTATGTTACACCAGCCATTGTTCTCAAATCCTCAAACGATGTTGCACCTCTCACATGATTTAGTAGTACTCTTAGGAAGTATCTCTCACCTTCAGCAGGGTTAGCATAGACAATCCGGCCTATCTGTGCTGACGCTTGTTTTCTTCCTTGCCACACTTTTTTCCCTGCGATCCATCGGTAGTGTTCCGGAAATTCTCTATATAATATTTTCCTTGCTGCCCTTTCTTCACGGTTTTTACAAAAATATTCCGTGAGTGTTGTCCTGTTAGAACCCGGGCGACTCAAAACATCTTCCAGGTTTTCATCATCTTTGTATGTCACAGACTGCATATTTGGCAAATGTAGCTGGAGCTGCAATACTGAAGGATAAACTCCAAACATCGGGAATCCGAATATCCTATGCACAGCTTCTGGTGGAGATATGTACCTAGCATTCCTATACTGCTTTATCTCATTGATGACCCCATCATCTCTATCATCTTGGTCTGCATTTACCGAGAATGATGCTTGGTCGTGGCCTTTATATACGTACTTAAACAGATATTTCACTGCTTTAATGCTTGAGCATGCCTCAACATTTATGTGACAGTTGTATCTAAAGAGCAGACCAGGGTTATATGGCACAACCCACCTGTTATCTAACTCGCTTGCTCCCGATCTTAACTCAAGCGTCCGTCATCTCTTCTTCGGTAGGTTGGATATGAGTCCTTTCCTTGTTGGGTTGCCTCACAGAACTGTCTAGGGTACTGAAAGCGACACTCTCCATTCACCATGCATGCACAATATTTGTTTAGCACCCCACATGGGCCATGTAGCATATGGCTTAATAACCAGATCATGCAACTCGGATATTTATCCTTGTCGGTATCTCAGTTTGAAACAACTCGATCATATGCATCCGGGGTTGTCAACTTACTCCCCGATTTCATGATCAACAAGAAATGCTCATGTGCGCGGACCCTTTTTGGAACTCGGTAACATGAACATGCAAAGCAACTTCACCAAAGTACTTCCTCTTGATTAGGAGTTCTTTTAGGTCCCCATAACTTTGCCCTATATACTCTTGCAACCAGATTCGGCCTATCTTGTGGATCCTGTCCCGGTTCAAGATTGCTTGTTATCTCTTCCCAGTACGGATTGCATGTCATGGTGATGAAGTAATCAGGCTTGCCAAAACGCTGCACAATAGCCATTGCATTAAGGAATCTTTGCTGCATGTCTCGATCGCATCCAGGGAATGATCTTGGCAGCACAATTCTCTTGCCAACCTTAGAACTGTGCGTCTCTCCCGCAGATATAACATCAACCAGTCCCTATAATACATGTAAGCACTTAATTTTAGCTTTATGTAGTAACAAGCATGCAAAGATCGTAAAAAACAATTACAAACAATAGATTATGAGTGTTTACCTGGTATAGCTCGGCCCGTATTAGTTTTTGGTTATCAGGATTAGAGTACCAATCTAGCCTCATAGACTCAATCTTTATATACATATCCACAGCCCACTGTTGAAAAAGACGTCCTCCGAATAATAAAATATTAAAAATTCCCCTTCTGACTTGCAATTTGAAGCAGTAGTATTCTCGTGCAGTTACATATTTTGCAGATTGTGTTGCATCAGCAACTCCACCTAGGACGTCACCTTCTTGTACTTCATTGTCGCCATCTTCAAATGGATTCTCATTATTATTATCAGCTGGGAAATAGATAAAATATTAGAACATTTTATAATATGGTACTATAGCATCAAATCATTAGTATAGCAGTAAGTATTATAGGAAAAAATACTATTACTAAGAGATAATACCATGATTAACACCAGACGTCCCTTCATCTCTACTCTCTGGCCATTGATTATTAGTAGAAGCCGCGGTTGCAGATGGTGGAGTGAATGGACTCCCACTGTACGGCATATATTTGTTCCATCCTGTCTCCCCTCGTGGGTTATATATAGGATAAGCTAAGGCGTCATAACAACCATGCCATGCCCGGATATACTGCGGACGATGATCAGTCTTTCCATATACAACCACACTTCTATCAAAACATCTTTGTGGATCGTTCCCATCCATCCAAATAGCAGCAACTTGGGATGCAGTTGGGGCATTGTACCTTCTTTGGTCAGGCGTGATATTTGTATTGAGTTCAATCCGGTACTCATCCAAGTTTGGAAAATCCCCATTTCTCCTAAAAGTCTGAACATATGGGTTATCTTGCAAGATTGCTAGGATAGTCCGAATGATGTTGATATCAAGATCAGGGGACCTTTTGACTCTATGTGATAAGGCCTCATCTTCTGTATCATAAAAGTAGAGCTGCAAATGCCGAGCACCGCGGCCACCTGGCACCAGGTGGTCAAGACGGTGGTACAGCCCACCATGAACTCGAAATGTATAAACACCGGTCCCTACTGGACTTTTATATCTGTCATCAGTGGTAACCCCTAGACTTGCAAAGGAGAAATGTGAGTTGATATAACGTATATGTTTTCTGAAATATTTTGCATCATCGTGCACTTGACTTGTGAACAACCTTTTGAGCTCTGCAGGAACATCTGGTATATGTATCTGTACTTTTCCTTTTCTACAACAAAACCCGGGTGTCTCACCCTGAAACCTCATCGCACCACAATAACTGCAGTCAGGGACCTTTCTCAATTTATGTCGTTCTGGCAGGTTCTGGTAGATGTAATCATATGGATCATCATGTGTCACACTGTTTGTAGCTGGACCCTCTGGAAGCACGCGATATGACTCATAATCATGACCTGTGTACACATTGCAGTAATTATTTTCATTTAATATATAAACATGCCAAAGTGAAGCTAGACTTGTAACCAGGTTTATATATTGTTGTCACAGTACCTTGCGCATGTTGGTGAATGACTCCATCATCGTATAAGTTTTCATTCTGCAATCCATGGCCGGCGTCTATGGCATCTTCATCACCGTCCCAACCATCATGCGTTGGTTCAAATAGTTCACGGTCAAATTCTTCTTCATTGTGTAGTTCAGGTAAATGAAGTTCTGCAAACATTTTAAAAATAAGTATGCTAACATATATTTAAATTATATTTTATTGAAAAAAGCATGACGTTGTTGTGCTCGCTTGACTCACCGGAAGTAGGCAATGGGCCAGGAGGGACCGTACATGTGCCTCTAGCTTGTGGAACGTAATTATCATTTCGGTGTAGCCACTGTGGGATCTGCTAATGATGTATCAGTTGGTTGAGAGAATGCACAATTTGATTTGAACATTTATTATATCTCACCAGCTGGTGAAGACGCGGCAATGTTTGGGACACAACAGAGGTGGGGCTATTATTTTGCATTGCAGCTTTCCTCCGTGCTTTCGGTATTCACGTTGTTTCCTATTAGCTTCCTCCCTTTGTTGATCGGTCATTTCAGCTCTTCGTTTGCGTGCACGTGCATTCCTTGCTTCCCTCCTAGCATCGGCACTGTCCGTAGGACTCGTCTCTGGAGACAAAGGTACATGTTAAAGTCAATATATAGAGATGTGGTGTGTAGACATAAAAATGTGTTTCCTTTACAAAATAACCATCACTTATACCTAGGTCATTGTCGCTTATGTCCACTGACAGACACGTCTTGATCGACTCGTGTGTTCGCCGTGCCTACGCCAACATCTCTACTATTTGTTTGCATATCTCCGTTGCAAAATATATTTGGCGTGTTTTCATTCTGTGGGTCGGCAGTTTCGTCAAGTCCTATGATTGGGTGGCACCAAATGGTTGACCTCTACTTAATCAAAAGGGGTTATGGTGTAATAATAAGTGTCCAAAAATAGAAAGAGATTAAATACCTATGGACAAAGCTGAAGTTAACGGCACCGTCTCTCACATAAGCAATGGAAGTGCTACTATTCGGGTTGCATGTTTTTTCCGTTCTCGGTACTCAAGTTGTTTCCGATTGATCTCCCTTTGTTCCATGGACATATCAGCTCGACGTTTCCGTTGCTGCATATTCCTTTGCTCCCTCCTCCACGATTCCTCATCTAAAAATATGAAAACGTCCTTCCAGTAAATAGTGAAAAATATGAAAAGGTTTGCATAGGTACATATTTTAAGCATACCTATGACATTGGTGATATCACCTAGTGGTTCGCGTGTATATGTCGGGCGTAATCATTTGGCTTTGCGCTCGCGTGTATCTCTCGGCGTGAGACATTTTGCTCGACCGTCGGCGTGGATCTCCGGCGTGAGACATCGCCTCTTCCCTATGTACACAATTATTATTATCTCCGCTTAAATTAACATTAACATGGACACGAAATTTCGCTACTGTGACTCCAAAAGAATACGACGATCAGCATACAATACCATTAATCAAGGTTCGGGACCTCCGTTTTGCACAGCAGGAAGGCGAGAGTGGGGACCATACCTTGCTTATTGGCACGTCCGTCTCGGACGAGAGACGGGTCCGACGATGTGTGGACCCATGGCGAGTAGTAGCGGCGCGCTGCGGTCGTCAAGGACTTCTTTGTAGAGTAGTTCGTGATAACGCTACTGGATAATCTACGATGTTGTCCCCGGGGTTGCGACCGCCGGCCGCCAGAGAGTAGCTCGTGCTCTAGGGTTCTTGGGCTGCGATCGCATTGCTTTGCACGAACCTTCCTCGCCCACCGGAGAGGAAGGATGTCGGCCGCCGGTGTTGCACGCTGGTGCTTTGTGAATTGCGTTTTGGCGCAGGGCGGTAGCAGGGCTCCTCGGCGTGGCCACGGGCAGCAGAGTTCGTCGGGCTCGTTTGGAACGCGTTCGTTGCGACGGGCGGCGGATTAGCACGGCAATTTTCGACGGTGAATCCTCGACCACGTTGCGTCTCGGCCTTCCCCTCGGTCCGAAAGCACTGCCGGGTGCCCTTCCCGTCGTGCTCGTCTTGGTCTCCCGAGATCCGGCAGGAGGCGCGGCAAGAGGCGGGCGAAGGCAGGGCGAGGTCGTCGCTTCGAGGTCCAGTGCCGGATCGCCGCCGATGTCGCTTGCGGAGATCGTGGCTTGCATGCGGAGATCGTGGCGGCGCGAAGATAGAGGTCTCATTGGCGGCGTCGACGGCGATGTCCTCTCGCGGTGGTTACGACAATGACTTCTGCCGTCATGGGCGGAGGCAAAGCAACCGAAGCAAGTGGAGGGCGAGGTCGTGGCCTGCGCGCAGATATCGTGGGGGCGGAGATCGTGGAGTCGCGAAGATAGCGCCGGTGTCCTCGGCGGTTTCCTTTATTTTTGTTCGGCGATATTTCTTGGCGATATGGACGGAGCGTTGCGTTGAAGGCTTCAACGCGTGATGAGTCTGAAGTCTTCAATTATAGTAGATTGAAAAAAGCATGACGTTGTTGTGCTCGCTTGACTCACCGGAAGTAGGCAATGGGCCAGAGGGACCGTACATGTGCCTCTAGCTTGTGGAACGTAATTATCATTTCGGTGTAGCCACTCTGTGGGATCTGCTAATGATGTATCGGTTGGTTGAGAGAATGCACAATTTGATTTGAACATTTATTATATCTCACCGGTGGTGAAGACGCTGCAATGTTTGGGACACAACAGAGGTGGGGCTATTATTTTGCATTGCAGCTTTCCTCCGTGCTCGGTATTCACGTTGTTTCCTATTAGCTTCCTCCTTTGTTGATCGGTCATTTCAGCTCTTCGTTTGCGTGCACGTGCATTCCTTGCTTCCCTCCTAGCATCGGCATTGTCTCAGTAGGACTCGTCTCTGGAGACAAAGGTACATGTTAAAGTCAATATATAGAGATGTGGTGTGTAGACATAAAAAATGTGTTTCCTTTACAAAATAACCATCACTTATACCTAGGTCATTGTCGCTTATGTCCACAGACAACATCTCGACTCGTGTGTTCGCCGTGCTCACGCCAACATCTCTACTATTTGTTTGCATATCTCCGTTGCAAAATATATTTGGCGTGTTTTCATTCTGTGGGTCGGCAGTTTCGTCAAGTCCTATGATTGGGTGGCACCAAATGGTTGACCTCTACTTAATCAAAAGGGGTTATGGTGTAATAATAAGTGTCCAAAAATAGAAAGAGATTAAATACCTATGGACAAAGCTGAAGTTAACGGCACCGTCTCACGCAAAGCAGCGGAAGTGCTACTATTCTGGGTTGCATGTTTTTTCCGTTCTCGGTACTCAAGTTGTTTCCGATTGATCTCGCCCCTTTGTTCCATGGACATATCAGCTCGACGTTTCCGTTCTTTGCATATTCCTTTGCTCCTCCTCCGCGATTCCTCATCTAAAAATATGAAAACGTCCTTCCAGTAAATAGTGAAAAATATGAAAAGGTTTGCATAGGTACATATTTTAAGCATACCTATGACATTGGTGATATCACCTAGTGGTTCGCGTGTATATGTCGGCGTAATCATTTGGCTTTGCGCTCCGCGTGTATCTCTCGGCGTAGACATTTTGCTCTGACCGTCAGCGTGGATCTCCGGCGTGAGACATCGCCTCTTCCCTATGTACACAATTATTATTATCTCCGCTTAAATTAACATTAACATGGACACACGAAATTCTCGCTACTGTGACTCCAAAAAAGAATACGACGATCAGCATACAATACCATTAATCAAGGTTCGGGACCTCCGTTTTGCACAAAGCAGGAAGGCGAGAGAGTGGGGACCATACCTTGCTTATTGGCACGTCCGTCTCGGACAGAGACGGGTCCGACGATGTGTGGACCGCGGCGGCGAGTAAGCGCGCGGCTGCGGTCGTCAAGGACTTCTTTTTGTAGAGTAGTTCGTGATAACGCTACGGATAATCTACGATGTTGTCCCCGGGGTTGCGACCGCCCGCGGCCAGCAGATAGCTCGTGCTCTAGGGTTCTTGGCTGCGATCGCTATTGCTTTGCACGAACCTTCCTCGTCCACCGGAGAGGAAGGATGTCGGCCGCCGGTGTTGCACGCTGGTGCTGTGAATTGCGTTTTGGCGCAGCGCGCGGTAGCAGGGCTCCTCGGCGTGGCCACGGGCAGCAGGTTCGTCGGGCTCGTTTGGAACGCGTTCGTTGCGGCGGCGGCGGATTAGCACGGCAATTTTCGACGGGTGAATCCTCGACCACGTTTGCGTCTCGGCCTTCCCCCTCGGTCCTGAGCACTGCCGGGTGCCCTTCCCGTCGTTCCGTCTTGGTCTCCCAGATCCGGCAGGAGGCGCGGCAAGAGGCGGGCCGAAGCAGCGGCGAGGTCGTCGCTCGAGGCCCGGTGCCGGACTGCCGCCGATGTGCGCGCGGAGATCGTGGCTTGCATGCGGAGATCGTGGCGGCGCGAAGATAGAGGTCTCGCTGGCGGCGTCGACGGCAAAGATGTCCTCGCGGTGGTTACGACAGCGACTTCTGCCGTCGCGGCGGAGGCAGCAGCCGAGCAAGTGGAGGGCGCAGGGTCTGTGGCCTGCGCGCAGATATCGTGGAGGGCGCGGAGATCGTGGAGTCGCGAAGATAGCGGCCAGTGTCCTCGGCGGTTTCCTTTATTTTTGTTCGGCGATATTTCTTCGGCGATATGGACGGGAGCGTTGCGTTGAAGGCTTCAACGCGTGATGAGTCTGAAGTCTTCAATTATAGTAGATTGAAAAAAGCATGACGTTGTTGTGCTCGCTTGACTCACCGGAAGTAGGCAATGGGCCAGGAGGGACCGTACATGTGCCTCTAGCTTGTGGAACGTAATTATCATTTCGGTGTAGCCACTCTGTGGGATCTGCTAATGATGTATCAGTTGGTTGAGAGAATGCACAATTTGATTTGAACATTTATTATATCTCACCAGCTGGTGAAGACGCCGGCAATGTTTGGGACACAACAGAGGTGGGGCTATTATTTTGCATTGCAGCTTTCCTCCGTGCTCGGTATTCACGTTGTTTCCTATTAGCTTCCTCCCTTTGTTGATCGGTCATTTCAGCTCTTCGTTTGCGTGCACGTGCATTCCTTGCTTCCCTCCTAGCATCGGCACTGTCCGTAGGACTCGTCTCTGGAGACAAAGGTACATGTTAAAGTCAATATATAGAGATGTGGTGTGTAGACATAAAAAATGTGTTTCCTTTACAAAATAACCATCACTTATACCTAGGTCATTGTCGCTTATGTCCACAGACAGCGTACTGACTCGTGTGTTCGCCGTGCCTACGCCAACATCTCTACTATTTGTTTGCATATCTCCGTTGCAAAATATATTTGGCGTGTTTTCATTCTGTGGGTCGGCAGTTTCGTCAAGTCCTATGATTGGGTGGCACCAAATGGTTGACCTCTACTTAATCAAAAGGGGTTATGGTGTAATAATAAGTGTCCAAAAATAGAAAGAGATTAAATACCTATGGACAAAGCTGAAGTTAACGGCACCGTCTCACGCAAAGCAGCGGAAGTGCTACTATTCTGGGTTGCATGTTTTTTCCGTTCTCGGTACTCAAGTTGTTTCCGATTGATCTCGCCCCTTTGTTCCATGGACATATCAGCTCGACGTTTCCGTTGCTGCATATTCCTTTGCTCCCTCCTCCGCGATTCCTCATCTAAAAATATGAAAACGTCCTTCCAGTAAATAGTGAAAAATATGAAAAGGTTTGCATAGGTACATATTTTAAGCATACCTATGACATTGGTGATATCACCTAGTGGTTCGCGTGTATATGTCGGCGTAATCATTTGGCTTTGCGCTCCGCGCGTATCTCTCGGCGTAGACATTTTGCTCTGACCGTCGCGTGGATCTCCCGGCGTAGACATCGCCTCTTCCCTATGTACACAATTATTATTATCTCCGCTTAAATTAACATTAACATGGACACAGAATTTCTCGCGCCTGTGACTCCAAAAGAATACGACGATCAGCATACAATACCATTAATCAAGGTTCAGGACCTCCGTTTTGCACAGCAGGAAGGCGAGAGAGTGGGGACCATACCTTGCTTATTGGCACGTCCGTCTGGACAGAGACGGGTCCGACGATGTGTGGACCGCGGCGAGTAGGGCGCGGCTGCGGTCGTCAAGGACTTCTTTGTAGAGTAGTTCGTGATAACGCTACGGATAATCTACGATGTTGTCCCCGGGGTTGCGACCGGCCGGCCAGCAGTAGCTCGTGCTCTAGGGTTCTTGGGCTGCGATCGCGCTGCTGCACGAACCTTCCTCGTCCACCGGAGAGGAAGGATGTCAGCGCCGGTGTTGCACGCTGGTGCTGTGAATTGCGTTTGGCGCAGCGGCGGGTAGCAGGGCTCCTCGGCGTGGCCACGGGCAGCAGGTTCGTCGGGCTCGTTTGGAACGCGTTCGTTGCGACGGCGGCGGGATTAGCACGGCAATTTTCGACGGGTGAATCCTCGACCACGTTTGCGTCTCGGCCTTCCCCCTCGGTCCTGAGCACTGCCGGGTGCCCTTCCCGTCGTTCCGTCTTGGTCTCCCAGATCCGGCAGGAGGCGCGGCAAGAGGCGGGCCGAAGCAGCGGCGAGGTCGTCGCTCGAGGCCCGGTGCCGGACTGCCGCCGATGTGCGCGCGGAGATCGTGGCTTGCATGCGGAGATCGTGGCGGCGCGAAGATAGAGGTCTCGCTGGCGGCGTCGACGGCAGTGTCCTCTGCGGTGGTTACGACAGCGACTCTGCCGTCGCGGCGGAGGCAGCAGCCGAGCAAGTGGAGGGCGCAGGGTCTGTGGCCTGCGCGCAGATATCGTGGAGGGCGCGGAGATCGTGGAGTCGCGAAGATAGCGGCCAGTGTCCTCGGCGGTTTCCTTTATTTTTGTTCGGCGATATTTCTTCGGCGATATGGACGGGAGCGTTGCGTTGAAGGCTTCAACGCGTGATGAGTCTGAAGTCTTCAATTATAGTAGAGAAGATACGTACTAGTACTAGTGCATATACATAAAATAAAATAATAATATCTTTTGTAATCCTGCCTGGTTCGTTTCCTTATCCGTTCGGCACTGCATGGTTGCACCAGGCACATACGACACGAATAGAAACTGCATCCTCTAGCCAAACGATTAATCCGTGAAAATGCCTTTGCATGATCTCCTTTCCAGTTTCTATATTGCTTTCTTTTCTTCACACGTCGTGCACTCCAGCA